CAAAGGCATGCAAGAGAATTCAAATTTGGTAACCAATGAAACGGAGACTGAACTGTAATGCATGCGAGGCAGGTAAGTTTAAAAAGGGTTTAGTTTGAAGTGTGACGCTTGTTTATTCCGCCGGAGGATAAAACTGACATTCGTGTAAACAGGCATGCTTGCAGAAAGAACGTGCAAATCCAGGAATCCGGACAAGGAAAATTTGAATACGACTAGAGTCGAGTTTCTAGCTGTAAGCCTAGTGACGCATGCGCTGGAATTAGAAAGCAATAAATAGTCAAAAGGCTGATCAACTAATTCTACGCATTATGGCTGTCCCGTGTACTTTTAGAAGTGGCATTTTAGTTGAACAAAGGCGGTTTGAATAACTTTACCAAGCCGACTGGCGAAGATCACTTAACAATTTATTTTCAGATTGTGCATAACAAAATTCCAAGCCCTAGTTTAGAGTTATTTAATGTTTCGGATTGTTTACTAACTTAATCAAACCTAAAAGCAGGTGTAAAGAACTCATTTTTGTGAACGGCTTTACTATTCATGCTTCACATAAAGTTGATTTGGTACTTTCGAGAGTTCTTCGTCATCAACTTTGAAATTTTCCATGCTTGCAAGCGTACAGAAGAAGCCATTTGGGTTGCTGGATGGTTTCATCCTCTCCCCAGATGCGTGTGCATCGAAGAAGACTGCTTTGTGTACATTTCGATCAAGGTTTTCATCGGATGGACTTCCATCCTTTGCTACAGTTTTAATCTTACCCAAAACTTAGTAAACGCTTAAATGAATTGTACTTTTACAGCGACGAAGTAGGGATTCGAGGCTACACTGCCGATTATACAAATTCAGTTTTAGTGAACTCTTAGAAGTACACATATTGCATCAACCTATTCGCATATTGCAGTAATCGGTAACATCAGAAATACGATTTGACAGGCATACATTCCTGTACATTAATCAGTAAGGGTGCCTGGTTCACTATCTGCAAGGGATAATCTCATGGTCTAAAAAGACCAACCTGAATATTTTCTTAAATATTTGCAAAACGGACGCCACATCGAAATTAACTTTCATCTGTAAATCCAACATTACATACCTGGCCTTGGAGACTCAGGAATCCTTGTAATTGTAGACATCTGAAGGTTATTTGACGATTAGTTAACAATCTCGTTTGTCTGTTAAAATTTCGTACACTTGAAGAAAACTCTAATTTTACTTGACTAAATTAAATTGTATCCTCAACTTTAAACAAAGACCAATTTGGCGCCCTGATATGATTAATCTTTAAAGATTGAAAACTCTGATAAATCATAAACCGAATTTGAAATTATCCCATAGTAAAAATAGCATCTTGGAGTTTTTTTGAAGTTTTTCCAAATTGTTTGCGTGAGTTAAACCCCATCGCATGAATCGGCTTCAACCTAGTGAATAGGCTTGGCACGCAAGCCGAATTTGAATCTCGTTCAAATGTACGAGTGCGTCAAATCCACAAAACTTGAATATGCTCATGCACGGAAGATGTGGGCGAAGTGTGGCCAATTTGGACAATACTGATATTTCTGTCCAAATTCGTCAAAGTAGTTAAAAAGTCATGTGTCAGCGCGAAACAAAACAGTTGCCTGACGCTTCATTCCATGAAATGGGGTTCCGCATTTTCGAGAAAGCTGACTTGATTTGGTCCTAGACACGAAGAACTTTCCTGGCGACTGCAAGAAAACGATGCTTAACGAGGTTGCAACGATCAGCGCTAGAGTAAGTTACATCATAGTATTACCTCAATACCTTCAGTATGCAAAGGCAAGTAATTGGTGATCCAGTACACCAAACACTTTTTTTTAAATTCTTCAATTCTTTCTCTTTAGACTTAGTTTAGGCATTTCAGTAAAGGAAAGGTTTTTTTCTTCGCTAAAGATTTTGCCGAGAATGGTTGTGGCCAACTTCTCACCACAAATGATTGGGTAGCTTGAAGGTCTGTGGTTGAAATATAGCCTTTCATTTTGCAACTCCTGTCTCACAATAACTGCACATTTTTCAAAATTAAAAACTGCTAATTTCCACTGGAAATAGTTCTGCAAATAAAAGAAACAAATTACAAAGGCAAAGAAAACAGCGATGCCTTCTTCTTTCGACATAACCCGATTTAATTTAAATAAAAGACTGAACATTGATGCTGCCCCGTGATTTTTTTCATGGCCACAAAATCACTTTTTTATCTAGTTACTTTTTAAGCGTCAAAAATCGCCACTTTTCAAATACTGATAGAATTGCAGCAGCCTCTGGTCGTTCTTATTTCCCCTTTTGTTAAGATGGTTAATAATCACTCTCAACATCTACCTGGCACAATCAAAATTCAAATTAAATTCCTGCTTCCAAGCTCTCCAACTTTTAGTATGAAAATTCAGGTTCAGACGTATCTGCAGATTCAGATAATTATAACTAGATAGCGGAATCAGGTTGCTTTTAGGGAATTAAGTGAACACGGCTACCAGGAAATTTTTTAATTGAAAACACTCTAAGCCTGGATTTGTCGTTACGTTAACCGCATTTATTTTCATGCAGTCTTTTTACACTGGGATTTGTGACTTACATTCACTTGGCTTTGTTCGCACTACCAAGCTCTACAATCACGCCATATTGTTGTTCATGGTAACAACTCATTAGCCACTCTAAACACATAGAAGCAATGAAAACCGGGCATATATTAATGGGGACATCTAATTATATACTTGACTTCCGCTTTGACCCTACGTTTGGCAAGGACAGTAATGCTCTCTGCACAATCTCTAGTCTTTTCCCGTTTTGAGAAGTCTTTGAAATGCTAAACAAGGGATTTAAAGTAACGACGCTCTGGTTTCTGCATCTGCATACCGGGGTAAATCGTGACGCTACCCATTCCTCTGGCCCCCATTATTTATCCGTCCACCCCACGTGTGCACGGATCTGTCCAATCCATGATAGGATGTTCACCCGGTCTCACGCCTTCCCTCAGACTCCTGCAATTTTTTTTCGGTCACTCTCGCACCAAATATCCCCAAAATCACACACTTGTTTCTCGACTGCCTTTTACTACAGACGGACTGCAATCTTGGATTGGTATCAACATCTGCCCTGGATATTTGCTACCGATAACCTCTGGGCCTCGTTAGTGGATGGTAGGTGCCTTCGAACTAAGATCCAGACAGATTACCTGCCATTTTTTACGATTATTGTTGATTTGCGTTCCCGCAGCACTTCAATCATCGCCAGCCACCTGCAAACGATAAAAACGTCCGATGGCAGGTGGAAGAATAGTGAAACGGGTTATGACTAGCACCTACGTCATAAAATAGGGCCAGAACGTGTAAAATGCTCTCCCAAGTGTCCGACAGTGATGGTTGGAGAAGTAAATAACCTCCTAGTACTATTTTTTTTATAGATAACGGGGTCTAAACTGTGTTAGTGATATATCTATGGTTTTCCTTTGAGAAAAATTTGATAACTACTGTCAGAACAAAGGGTTTATTGATTATAAAATCCTTGGGATAATTTTAATACCGACGCCATTGTGTGCGTAAAGCTTCCTACAATAAGGGATTGGGAGAAACGGAACGCAATAAATTTGGTGGATTAAAGTACACACTGCAAATGTGCGCGTTTTGGTAGTGACTTTCTGCGTTCAAATCTATGTTGCTAGGACAACATATTCCTCAGGTTTCGCTAAGTCTTATCAATGTGAGTTTATGTTCTTTCAAGACATTAAATTAATTTATTCCTTGACTTTCAACCGGATGTAGCCTAGCGACCTTCGCTTGAAGACCTTCCTCCACCATTCGCCCTTTTCAAGTCAAACTGACGCGACGAATCAGAACTTGGCCCACAATGACGACATGTTTGGGGAGATTTCTCAAGTCGATGCTACAAAATAACCCACTAGGCTTTGTTTACTGGTGGATGTACAGTGCAACCGAGTCCCTAGCTTTTAAGGCTGACACTATTAAACATGCCGACCCCACAGTACCACTATCGACCCCTCTACAACTCAAATGACACCCACGAATTCATTCTTTGGGTTATTTTGATTCCTAGAACAGAACTTGCCAGCGGTTGTCAAATTTATAGTGATTCAGCACATTTATTTCTGATTCTGAAATATACCCGTGTTCGTTGCACTTTATAATCAGTTCCAGCGATTAAACATGGCCACTATGGGGCACGTTAATACTACCATGCTACACAGAATGCAGTCGACGAAGGCACACAAGAGTTGCAACCAAGCCTTGAGTAAAACAAAGTTGCCTTGATGTAACCAAACCCCAAAACTTATAAGAGAAAAAACATGTTACAAGATCTCACAACAGAGTTTGTTATGTGCGGTAGAGACACATCGTTGAGTTGCAATAAGGTTTTGTTCAATTTGATCCCACCTGTGTTTACCCACATCTTATAATACTCCCGAATGTCCGGATTCTTTTGTCCTGCACCATTTACAGAACCAAACTTTGCAAGATCCAGACATGCATTGCAAACACCTCGAGTTTGAGCTGCGAAGATTTAAATTGAAATAAAAGCAAAACAAAGCACAAGTCCAGGAGTTGCCTGGGCAGCCAATATTCTGGGATTTTCACCAACCACTCACTAGAGATATGCATAAATAAGGAGACAAGTCTGACATGGATGCTTGTTGGAGCGCGTCGCGACTGCGCACATTCTGGTTTGATGCTGAAATCTCAAATAAATCCACCAGCCTATGCATGAAAAGCGAAACTACTAACTTAGCACCATGACCACGGTGGTGGTGCTAAAAAAGCACATTGGCAAGGAGACTTGTTCATGATGCCCCCACCACTGGTTACTTGGTGCCAGTCGAACACAACACAGGGATCAACTTGGTCCCGAAGAAGAAAAAGGGAATCTCCCCAGCCAATCATGAGCCCAAAATCACAAGGTACACAAAAAGGCATTTTTCGTTAGTACTAAAGTGATTGGAAATGATAAAACAAAATTCTGGTAGCTTTTGAGTCCCGCGTCTAGTCGACACCGGATTCGCAATCGTCGGGAACGTCTAGGCCGACTCCGATGCCATCAAACGTCTCCTCCGATTTCATTGGTTCGCCTCGACTTAAAAATGCCGTCTTTAAGTCCGCCACAAGGGGACTGATAAACCCGACCGATGTGGCACCGGGAACCCCACAAAAAGGCCCCTCGGCATCGGACAAAGTAGTTTCTAAAGTGGAGAAGAGTGGTTGTTACCACGAGGCTTGGTGTGGCTTGATAAACACCCAGCAATCGTACCGGGCTTGAGGCTCTGGAAAGACAAATAAGATGCATCGTCAATAAACCAAACCAACAATCTTGATTTTAAAATACGTAAAAACAAGGAAGATAGCCCTTTATGAAAGTGGGATGTTGATGCAAAAAGGGCAACAGCTATGCGCGAAAACAGGTTACAACGCGAGGGAAAGTGGTGAACGTTACAAGAGCCATAGCTAAAATGCAGACGATGATTAGCACAAGCATGGATGGAAAAAAAAACACAAAAAGCGCAAACATTTTCGGTAATACAGACTCGCTGTTATTTACAAATCAAAGAACAGCACGGTCTCGCATAGCTAATGGAATGAACCGAGTTATTTGACAAACTGACCGCAGAAAAGTGGCCCAGGGTATTAGGTTGTTAAGAGATCAAGCAATCCCAACGCGAGGATCGTGGCCCTAACCTACCGACTGTAGTCAGCAACAATTACCCCATGCCAATGTTGCCTTAACACTGACCCTCGTTGTATCGCAAGAGTGCAGAATAAAAAAAAGAATCCAGACTGAAAGCTAATCACGACTACGCAACAGTTAAAGCTCGTGATTTCCGAAAATTAGGAAGATTGCGAATCCGATTTTCCTGGTGGCTCTGGTTCATCGAAACGCGAATGACGATATCTCTTGACTCCACATTCTGATTTCTGACAATTTTGCCAGGTGGAGCCGATTAGCTGTCGTTTAACCATGCAGTAAATAGTGATTTAGGAGTAAATTTTGGAGTAACATGCATGCCTTCTTCATGGCCAAGGTGGCAATAAACACGATTTTTTTATTACAATATGGAATACTGGGAAAATACTGCATTTTTAGGAGAGAGGATATGTGTTCGTGTGGAAGGGCACCAAATTTAGGCGCCGGGATAGTCTGGGAAAAAAAGGTTCACCGAATCTCTACGCTTTCGTGCGACATCTGAAATACCCTAGAATTGAGGGTCCATAAAAATAACACTTGCAAAGCACCACTTTAAAAACGAAATCCTTCCCTTTTTTGCAGAAATCTTGGTTCGCTCGTTCTGGGCTAACATCGGAAAATGGGTTTTTAGGGAGTACTGGAAAAAGAATGTTTGTGGCATTTCTGTTTTTTGCCTACAACGCCATAATTTGAAAGGGTATTTGGAAGTTCTGATTTCATTTATGAAGTGGGGGGCCTACAATCGAGGTCACAACGGACAAGAGCCTGGCGCGAACAGGTGAATTTGCTCTGGTAGCCAATTTGGGGATTGCGCGTTCACACACGTGCCGGAGTTCATCTTCAAAGGGCCACCAGTTAACACACACACACACTCAACAACAATTGAACCTAGCGGCCACGAAGGTGCCAAGCGCACGGAGGTTTTGCGTTTTGTGGCGCTGCATCAGCACGACAGACGGCAGACCCTATCAGGCAAATGAGCGCCTCACGCAGGCCTCAGCAGCCGTTGATACGTGAGGTACTTTAAATCAGAACACAGCCTAACGGGGTGACAATCACGCAGAAATAAGATATATGGGGGCACTATAAGACTGCAAAGGGATCTTGAAAACAAAACACGCATTAGCAGAGGTTTGTGGTGATTTTCTAAAGAGTAATGAAGTCTACCTGGCGCTGGAGCATCGCCGCTAGAAGGCGTCGCCGCGTTGGTGAGAGAGCGCTGTCGACTGGCGAGATCTGCGCATTCTTTTCGATCCGAGTCGATGTCTTGATTGGCTTGGCTTCGGTTTACATCACCACCACCGTTCTAGGAGGTAGGCAAAACATATTGACTAGCGTAACGAATGTGAACCTGCAACCTTCAAACGCAGCTGCAAGGGGGAAAACATAGCAAATAATAAAGAGATGTCAGGAATTCGTAAGTTTTGGCAGGGTTAAGCTGTCACAATGCGGTTCCAAGTTGTTTATCAAAGACCTAGTTTGGCATTTGTTGGTACATAGCTTGTTTGCGGAATATAAAAACAGAAAACAATACGTTGCTGAGATTTCGGCTGAGCAGACGTAGAAGACATGGCAACAGGCTTCTTTTGTCTACATTGAATTTCAATTAATGGAGGTTTCCTGCGCCATTAGACACTTGGATCTATGACTAATTAAAGACCAGTTTTGTTCTATTCACTTTCAGCCTTGATTCCAGGCGCAAAAGTGACTTAAAAAAATTGGAGCAGAGGTTCAAACCACGAGCACATCGGTGCACAACGACGGCGACCAGTCTGCACCAATTCGTCATACAATTCAAAGTATCGGCCACAGTTAAGTCCGTTCGCGAGTTGTTCCATTGAGTAGTTAACTTTCACGACGTAAGGAACCTGCAAGTAGTCTGAAATGTGGTCCTAAATAACCGTCACTGTGCAAACGGATACATTTACTGACAGATATACGATGTGAATGGCTTGTCCTAATTTCTACACCAACGGTACCGCGGCATGTTCGCACTGAATAGTATGCCCGGTAACCAACACCTAGAAATGAATACTCACGTCCACCGAGAGGACACCACGCGAGATCGAAAGTGTTCACTTGAAACAGCTTGTACTGGCTTGTGTTTTAGCACTGCCTTACAACCCTCTAGTTAACAGACCGTAACAACCCGAGAATGGAATGAAGAGAGGCGACAGAGGCCAAATGTGTCTTGGTGTGTGGATGAGCGAACGGATGTCAGGCTCCTGATAACAGTAACCAATGGAAAGGAGATGAGTCATTGTCACCGTTAGGTCAGTAAAGAGGGTTCACCAAGGCGCGATCGCTATTAATCAGCTACAAGCTGAAGTTGCCAGTGAATGCTTAAAGGTCTTCAATGCGGTTTTGGGACAGACATCTTCACCTTTATCAAGCACAAGAGGTCCTCATTAACGAGGGCAGTGACGGTGCAGCAATTCCATCAGCTCCGAAATTGACCCCCTTTCACAGCGTCTCCGCCAGTACTGCGCGTAATCGTTTCACTCAGATGGCCACAAAATCGTTTGAACTCCTGCTGAATCACCCAAACCTTACTGATCAATGACTTCATTAGTCAGGCACGACCTTGAACACACACACACGACACCAACACTTGGTTGAACCATCTACTTAGACGTTTGTGTCCCCGCTACCCTCATTTCTCAGTCTGCCCGCGTATCTGCGTGGCTTGCCCGGGACAACACAACGTGGCGGCCTCGGTGTGGTTTGAGACCCCAGCTGAAGCTGTATCGACAAAAAAACCATTCAGGCAGTTGCAGGCAAATTCCAGGCGATTGGTGTGGAATGGAGATCAGAAGAAAATGCATTTTATTGAATAGACATTTGTGAGTCCTGTCGTGTTAGGGACGAAGTGCAGCCAAAGTCACTAGAATCCTTTTCTTGAACAAGAACGCCCTGCGCAGAATTACCACTGGAAGATGCATTGATATAACCACAAGCAAGAAGTGCCAGTTGAGGTTGTCTTAACTGGCGACAAAAGGGCAATGAAAAGTGACTAATGACGCCCAGGCTTATTCGACTTAATTTTACTTAAAAAGACAAAAATCAACTGGAAACGAATTTCCAGCGTGCTAGTCGGTGGTATTCGAATTGTAAAAAAGCGCGTATCAACGGAAATGCCACAATTCACGAAGGATTTGCAAGAAGCCAAGACACACTAGCTACCAATGTCAACTAGAATGCAACCAAAGACCCACACCATTCTATAATTGGGCAAGCAGACTGGTAACAGGGGAATCACTAAACCATGACGTACTTGGGGCGTTAATTACCACCTTGTCTGGATCTAACTGGCTATTAATACGAGCCTTTTAGGCAGTTCAATGCCTTTTTCAAGCCAAATTCACAATGAATTTAACTGTTAAATTAACCTGCCTCCATTCTCACATGATCTCTCGACCATAAAAACGCTATGAGCAATTAAGGAGACAAAATGAAATTTTATACCGGGACAGTTGGAAGCCCAGAAGGGGGCAAATAAACGACAGATTCCGAAGCCTGTGTCGCATGCTACTGGGGGCCATTTGCGTTGCTTTAATTGGTATTTAAAATTCTCAGCGACCAAGAAATTTCCCTGACCTGGGAACACGTACGTGGGTTTATTTAAGTAAGCTGTGCCTGAGAAACCGCGGTAAGAGTGAAAATAAACCAGCTACCAGGAAACTCCCAGTTCGGGGAGCAGACAAGACGGAGCCAGAGGAGACACCGCACTGCAGCAGCCGGCAACCATCTAGTATTCACAGCCAATCGCACTTCTCCATCGAAAAAGCCCAAGGGAGACTACGGACTACCAGCATGTGAATACCTGGAACTGGACGGGTGGGGAACGTAGCACCACGAAATCAAATGAAAGCCATAGGCACCCATAACCCGCCAAATTTACTTCTCCCATGACTTCTCTGGAAATGATTTCAATAGACAGTTTCAAGAAGCCTGTCGCGGGCTATTGTACAATTTATCATTAAACACCACTGCCTCGTCACGAAGCTCAAACCCCACATATTGCAACCCATAAGCAACGTTCGAACACACACGATTTCACTGTGTGATTCACAAAGCGGTGTGGTTAGTAAGTCCTCGTTTTTTAGACCCAGCACAATCGTAAAAAGGCACTGCGAAACATCAGCCCCATGAGGAAGACGGTAATTAGATTTGAGGAGGTAAATTAGATAAGTTTCGATGACTCCGTCTGACCGCCTTCACACTTGATAGTCTCACTTGCAGTGACCAGTCAAAACAGGAAAAAGATGGGGTGAGATCTTCAGTTTAGATCTAAGAGCCTCTTAACCAACCAGTATTTACTATTTTTTATGGAAAAAAATCCTCTCAGTGATGTTTACTAGAATGGACTCGTTTTAGAAGGTTATCATTGACGATCGAACACAAGAAACAACCTAACCAATAGTAAATAATGATTTCTTAATAAATAGCCTTGTTACGTTTAGAGAACTTTTGATCGCTTACTTCAGGAATAAATTTTAACGTGGCAAAAGGCAAGATATCCGCTGATGTTGACACATGTCGAATCAAGATCGTCACCACGGTGCCCTCATGGCCTGCTTCGGTGTTTGGTCACACCCCAAGACATCCCCGCTGAACTCCTGTGCCCACCCTGAACCGTCCATTCGGAAGTTTGTACAAACAGATCCTTGTTTGTTAAGAGGCCACCTACGCCTCACGCGCACGAACTATAAATACGCAATAAACCGAATGAGCTGGAGACTCAATCGCTTTTTGCTCAGTCTTATCTGGGCCTTTTGGTGACGGATTGTGGCTGCCCCGGTGCAGGTGTGATTTCCCCATCAAGACATTCAACAAAGGCGACTCGGGCATTAAACACGTTCCACCTCCAACGAGGTGATTTTCGGCAATCTTATGGAACTAATTCGGAGGTGAGACTACCCTGGACTTCAAGTCCTTAAGGCGTTGATGTTCCGCATGAACAAGGCCCGCCTCTAGAACATGGATCTTAGTTGGCTCACCTCGGCTCCTGCCTCACTTTTGGCTTAGTCGACACCATCACCTGACCCAACCGGGTCTTGAGTTTCAACCAGATCAATAGCCCTAAAGATCTCACATCAGCAAACAGTCATTACGTGATAACAGTGGTCCCATTTACCTGGTGATGACGTCCAATCGTCTCGACCATGTCGGCAACAACCGATTCTCTGGCTTCATTTGACTGGAGACACCCAACTGGCCGAGAGCATTTCCCAGCGACGACCAACCACTCATTCTATTCCTCTTAGTTCAATTTCCACGCACCCTCAACGCAGCCCTCATCGATAGTCAGACGCATCAAAGCCGTCACTAAAGAATCGTTCTGGCGTTTTCACTCAAACCTGACCAACTATAGTTAATGCTGACTAAACGTATAAAGTCAAAGTCACTTAGCATGTCTTAGGGCCGTCAGAACTCTCGATTTTTGAGTCCAACATGAACTGACAGAAATCCAATGAACACCACGAACCAAGCCAAATCATGTCCTCTAGAAGGAGATTTACATCTAATGCTGACAAATGGGTCGTCTACGATAATAAAAAACAGTCAAAAACGATCATGTTTTGAGTGTGATAAACTAACACAGAGCACATCTAAAGAATACCATGCCGAGCTGCTTTCAAGAAACCACCCAATCAATTCAGCCGATTAGTAGAAAAAAATTAATGAAACTGAATTCGGAAGCCTGGCGTGGCGTGTAGTGGAAGAAAAACCCTCCATTAGGGCACCCCACACATACTTGGCAACTCGTGGGGCATTAATAGAGCTTTTTGGAAGGTAATTCTGCGCTTCGCCACATAGTGGCTCTGATCTTGAACCAAAGTAGTAAAACGTTCTTTAGTGAAAATGGCCTGAATTCTCACGCGGTTCAAGTTCTCGCTGAATTTGACCTGACGTGTCACCAATGCGAAATCCCCAACTAACCAGACAGAACAGACCGTCGTTAGGCAACATGTAACTGATCGGTGTGCGTTCTTTGCATTTGGGAAATTGAGTTTTAATTTGCACAGAAAAACTTTTGACAATGCTAATCTCTGGCATGAAAAATAACTGAGATACAGCCCAGCCCCTAGGATTAGCAGTAATTCCAGGTGACTGGAACACATTTGTCAAAATGTTAACCATTATTTGCAATCTAGACACAACATCGCTCGGTGGTAGGGAAACTCTGCGACACTTAATTGTAATTTTTAGTAACAATCCAGATTCGGTTACGTCAAGGCCATCTACACACAGACGCACGAGGTTGCGAACAATTCAAATGTTGGTTTGAGGTCTAAAAACCATTTAATAGAAAGTAAAGGAATGGAAAGAATAGTGAAATTGGAGGTTTGGCAGACGGCGTGAACGGAGAAAGGCTGAGCACAATTTGAATTATTAATTAGCGGGACTGGAACACGACAGGATTACGGAAAAGTTTATTCGGTATTTAGAAGGGTAGCAAGAACTACACGGGAGGTCTTTCACTGACACAAAAAGCCTTCCAATGTTGAACCTGGCCATTGCCCAGTCCTAATCACGAGGTCATATTCCAGATCAAAATAATGACCCCGACATAGCAAAGAATGTTTTCCAGTGGACGCTACATTCTGCGCCGTGTCGGGGACGATGTGCCACACCAATTCACAGTTTCACTGTAATGCACTCGAACGTCAGCAAGAATATGCTGAAAGAAATTAACCAGACAAGCAAAGCGAGTAGTTAGCCTCAGCTGGGTGGCGTTCGGCTAAATTATGACGACAAATTTACCCTTCTAACTAAAGAATTTCCCACCCGACAATAAGAATAACGAGTCTTGTTTAAAAAAAAGTACGTCATTAGCATTTGAAGTAAGTCCGATTCTCCTCGCAGACTAATTGATTTATTCAGACGGGGAGAATTTTTGCATTTGAAAGAACAGCAAAAGGTCGTTGGTGCTTTGACAAAGTATCCTTCAAGAGATGACATACGCGCGCACAGGTTGTGTTCATTGGAGCCGTGCCATGGTAGTTGGTTAACCAAAACATATTCAAGCAATTCAAAAGTCACGAATTTTTCCATATATATATATGGACTGGCCGTGGATATTTTCGTGTAGTTTGCACAAGCAGCGTGGGACGAAGAAAAAAGAACTTCACATTCGCCCACCAAGCCCTTCTATAAATACCCCGAACTACACGAAAGAGAAGGTGCAATTGCGGTTACTTTGACGAACACTCTCCGAGGTATTTTTTTGTGGTTTTGAAGACCGATGTGGAGAGTCACGAACGCCTGTGCAACGCGATGCCCCTCATACCAAACGCAACGATGACAAAAGCTGTTCTACGCAATGCCGACCTTCCGCAACGCGAAGAGATACCGTTATTGAAGGATTCGGGGCAGATCTTTCACTCACGGTTAGATAACGTAGACAAGGATGGTTAGAATCCACCAAGCTTTCAGTGTGGTTTGCGCGATTCCTCAGAACTCAAGCTGGATGGTGACGGTGGCTGCGCTAATAAAATCGAAGACAAATGATCACTCGATTTGGTTCGCTGACGAAAGAGGGGAAGGAAGTCAGTAAACGCGAAAAGGGTTGTGCTGTCAGGAGCGGATGGGGCGAGTGAAAGTAGCGAACGAAGTACACAAAAAGGCGAGCCTACGTCGTATAATCCAAAGGATCTACAGATAGTGATTAGGGGTTGCGATTTCAATCTCACGGGGTCTTATCGACACACACACACCCTGTACTAACTCAGCAATTGATCCCACCCCATGTGCCTGAAAGTTGATAAAGATCTAGAAGTAGATCACAAAAATCAGGCATATCGCGAGACTTCAAGAGTTGCGAATGGTTGACAATGAGTCATTCGATTTCCACCACTGAACCACTGGACCGTGTAAAACGGAGACACGTGATCAAGCTGCCAGGCCGTGTACTAGGAGGTCGAAGGTAGAACGCTCTACGGCCACTGGGATGGATGTCTTAAATAAAAGCGTACAAGGAGTTTGTCAGCTGGGTAAAACTATGAATCAGGATTTGAGGAGACGCCAACACGACACCCACCAGCATGGAAGGGTGGGTTTTCTATTGCGTACCGTGGAAGTGAGGCGTGCCAAATACGCGCCAAGTCAGCTTGACGCGAAAACCAACCTAGAAAACTGGCGGTCAGGGATAAAACGTGGCCTTCTTCAAGGATGTGAATCACACAAGCCCAGAAGGGTTCCACCGCCCCCTTGCCAAGGCGTTGGCATATCGGAAGGCAGGACACCGCCTTGATAGCAAAAGTCACTAATGCGTGCGGTTATGATCCCCAGCCGGTAAACAGCGCGGACGCCTAATCATGCCGCAGGTGTGCCATTTCCCACACATAAGGCTCGAAAGTGTTAAGATGTTAAGATATAACAAACATGCTGTGTTGGCGCTTTACGTCACTTGAAATGTCCTCAAATTCGAACATAGCTAAACACAAAACACACATAGTCTGTGAGAATCGCAATAAAATTCAATAAAAAAGAATAACGCCATGGACAGAGAAGGGAGCCGCGATTAGGCGTAAAGTAGCCGTCCGACCACCCTAGCTGCCTCCGAAACCATAAACAGCCAGATAAAAACGTGTACACGCGGTGAAATTGAGGATTTTTCAAACGGAAATAATCGGCAAACTTTTAACATCTACGACGAATTCAGTTCAATGCGAAGTAAAATAAGCACTGTGCAGGTTACATAAAGGAGAAATGGGCCTCCAGCTGCCCGCATTAAAGGGGATAACGTAAATGTGAACGAAAGATAACACCTCCCAGAAAAACCTGCAGTAAACATAGAAAAGGAGATAGTATGCAAAACTTATGACATTAATTAGGAAAATCACACTAAATATGCCTGAAGTAAAATAAGAATGTGACAAAGTGCCCAAGAGACAAGCACATAGCCATGACCAGATTATTAAAGACGGACAGAATAAGCAGGTTGGGGGGGGGCTTCGGCGAAAGAAAGACGAGATCACGATTTAAACACCACCGTGTTAAGTGTCAAAGGAGTACAACGGGTGAAGAGGGGCTATTGACTTTCACCAATCGATTCCGTGGTAAAATCGTGCTGATTCACGCCCAATAACCCGGTTTCCTCGCATTCTCCGCCACACTGACCTCATTTTCACGGTGTCTTCATCGATCATGCGAAACCGTCTGCCTATACAGCTATCCGTTCCAGTCACTTGTGCCTTTACAATTTCACCCCAACTGCATCAGTCCCCAGCTCCCCATTATTCAGACACGAATTGTCTTTATACGCAGTGGCGCGACAGTCACAACTAGGTTGAGCTATCTAGTAAACGGTTATCTTGACCTGCCGGGCATCTGAGTAGAGTATTCGGGCCGACTCAACACATGCCAGGGCCCATAACAATTCTTTTCCTCCACCAGCAGGAGACAAAGTAAAGTAGTTAAGCTGCTGTTAAAGTGGCACTAGAGACAACTTTTTTCTACTTCACAACTTAATTACCTCCGAAATCTGCTTCACGATAGGCAGTAGAGGGTAAAATCCGAGGCATTTTATGGCACTACTTCCCAAGTTTATGGGATGGCTTAAAAACCAGCTCCAATAAAACGCTACACGAGTACCGATTTGGTGGTTCAGGCATCCACCGGAGGACATCACCACACAACCGCATTTTTAGGAGAAAATGACATACAACGTGCTTGTGCAGGCTCTAAAGGGGAACACGGGAATTCACCGGTTATTGGTGGGGAGGGGGCTTGGGGGCAAAATCGTTGGAAAGAATGCCGCCGGACGATGCCAGTCACGTTCCCCCAACCAAGTCTGCTATTGTCCTCAGCGCAGAAAAACGCCTGCACACACACACACACACTCGTGTAAACACACAGTTACTTCACATATCGCTGCATGTGTGTGTGTGTGTAGACGCATGTATGTAGTCGTGTGCAGGTTGGGACAGCGCACACACGTGTGTGCAATACATTATGTCCCACTAACTAGCAAAAAAATTCTACAAAAGACGCATATTTGCGCCGTCGACTTGGGCAAGAGTGACTTTTGACTGCATCCCCTCCGTGTCCGATGTCGGTTAGCGGGACAAAAATAGGCCCGCATTCTGGCGGCGCACTTTCATATCGCCGTGGCAGCTACGGCACCCGCCACCTCGTTAGTTGGGGGGCACGAACGAAGCGGGAATTCAAATGTGCGAAGCTAGTTGTGTAAAATATGACCATGCGAAGGCACGAAAATGCCCGTTCAGTTGTGAAGGGGAATGAAGCAATCACCAGAGCGTTGCATTCCTCAACGCTGAGAAAGAAAGAAAAAGCACGCTATTAACGAAGACTAATATATACTGAAAAGCACCGAGAGAACGGTGTAGCAACGCGTGACGTCATCGCGCTGGGTAAACACCTACTGTCCGTTTTGTGTGCTTTAGTAAAAATTGTTTGGTAGACGACTTCAGACTGAAGAAAGGCCTCTAGGGGATAGTATCCGGAAAAAAAAGGAGTTGACTGATGACACAAGATATCACGCTGATCAGTCCAATTTGGAAAAAATACGAACTTTGTCAGATTTGGCAATAATGGAGCCCTACCGCATCAAACTACAACTGTGATTATATTAAAGAGCCATGCCACTAAGCCAACTCCATTCGTCCACGCCACCGACAGACGACAATTTTTGCGTGTGTTCAAACTAGTGAAGAGGAGAGCTTGTGTGCAATTGTGACAATCCACTACCACCGTGTTGATTCACGTTGACCCGCTCTGTCGCCGCATTCTCCGACTCGCTGCCCCCTTCTCACATGAGGGACAGTCGGCTCAGAAACCCCTTAGCATGTACCACCCCTATTACCCGTTTTGCTCATTTGACCATGCGCACATTTGTACTTTTAACGTCCCATCCCGCCTCTACGGGTCAACAACCGCGATGGTCATGCACTTGTTGTGAATCGTGTTTATTCACACCCCGGTTAAGCCGGTCGTTCCACCTCCGACACAGGGTTCTCCTCTTCGCAGCATGTCGCCAGCCACGCGGATCCTCACCTCCCCCCTCATTCACACGAACATTTATCTTGGAGTATCCCCACACCTAGGTCTCGATGTAAGCGCATGTATGACTTACACATTCGAGGTATAAATACACACGCGCAAATGCCACGCACGACACAACGACACCAACGTGGTTGAGCTCGGAAGTAAACGGTTGTGTCCACGTCCTCTCCGGTCTTTTCCTTCATCGCGGGTATTAGGCAAGCGTAATCTGGTCAGGGTTAATTCTGTGGCCCCGGCGTGGTTCAAGACCACATGCTGGGGCCCACAACACACTCTCTTCAATACAAGCACACGACAACACACTCAAGTTGAGGTATTTGATAAACTAGTGCCTCTGCCAGCTCTGGTCGTCTTGCCTTCTCAAGTATTTGTGTAGTGTAAACGAGACAAATCAACACAAAGGCCCCGAGGTGGCTTCACACCACATGTCGGAGTCTGCAAAAACCTCCAAGGCTTGCATTAAACGAAAAACTTAACAGAGACTAAGACATTCTCCGCCCAATTTCCTCAGGTTTCATGAAGCGATTGCTGTGTCTCCGAGTCATTATTCGTACAAATTAATCACAGGCTTCCAGAAACTGCGACTTAATCCTCTTCTGAAGACAGCGACTATACGAAAGTAGCGCCAACAAGGCAGAAATATCTGGTTGAATGAACCCAGAAATCGTAGCAGAGATTAACCAGCCATCGAACGAGCAAGAACATGAGTAACAAAGCAGTTAAAGCACGAAGGGCGAAATTGATAACTCCATAATATCTTTCAATTGAGTCTGGCCTAGCTAGAGAGCTTTGAAGAAATTACAAAGGTGATAATTAACATAGACTCAAGTCTCTGTGTGATTCGCCTCAAAATCAAAGAGCAGGTCACAAAGAGCTGAAGAAAACACCGCAATTTGTTCACATGAGAACAGCAGAAAGAGCAGATTGGCTTTCTTCCCAATCAACTGACAGCGAACACAGCAGAGGTGGGCAAAACGGAACGGCATACTTGCCTTTGCGAGACTTACGTCTAAATAGGTTCATTCGAGTCGTCAAATACTAAAAGTAAAACTGAATGTGAGGCAATTTTTGAAGGCGTGGGGTGTGGATGGGAGAGATTTAGATAATTCCGATCAGTCGTCAATACCAATGGCGTCCTGATGGGGTTGTTGTGGACCCCAGCGTGTGGTCTTGAACCACGTCGGGGCCACGGAATTAACTCTGGCTCGACTACGTTTCCCTTATACTCGCGATGAAGAAAAAGATCGGAGAGGACGTGGACACGACCGTTTACTTCAGAGCTCAACCACGTTGGTGTCGTTGTGTCGTGTGTGGGGTTTGAGCGTGTGTATTTAAACCTCGGAGGTGTGAGCATACATGCGCTAACATCGAGATCTGGGTGTGAGGATAATCCACGACAAATATCCGTGTGAATGAGAGGGAGTTGAGGAGCCGCGTGGCTGGGGAACCCTGTGTCGGAGGTGGAGCGACCGGCTGAAGAGGTGTGAATAAACACGATTCACAGCAATTGCATGACCAACACGGTTGTTGACCCGTCGAGATGGGATGGGGTGGTAAAAGTACAAATGTGCGCATGATCAAGGTCGTGGGAAGGCGTAAACGTCTGTCAGTGTGCCCTAGGGAGGCACTTAAGGCATCACCATCCCTGTTTAACGCGTGTGGATGTAGTAGTGATTGTCATAACGCCAATTTCTGCGACAACAAGGCGTTCACGTTACAGGGTATGTGAAGGTGCGAAGACAAGGAAGGCATCCCACACAAGGGTAAGAACTAGGTGAAGTGGCGTGAGAAGCATGAATTAAAACAATAAACGGACGCTAGGAAGGTGTGGCATCGAAAGACATGCGAAAAAAAAAACAAAATTGACAGTAAGGTCGTGGGAAATGCACGCCGACGGTTACACGAAAGTGTCTGATCCCAAACCAGGCGTAAAAAGGTGAGGGTGATGTGGATCTCTGGACATAGCCTTAGGCGATCCAGGTATTTTTGGCTGATCGTTAATTATGTGTTGCTATAATCGATAAAACAGGCTCTTCAGAAAGAACCAGAAGATAACCTTCTTTTTACGTCTTTAATAAGGACGCTCTAGATGCCAACAGTTTGTTCGTCTCACCAAGGACCAGTGTGGGACTCAACGTTGGATGGAAACGGAAATTGTTGATTGGGCAAGCGGGTTGAGGCGTTTTACGTGTGCAAAAAAGGTACCACGGGAAGAAAGTAGACCAAAACTAGGTAATAAGTCGACAAAATAATAAATACACCTTAAAATATCCAGGAAATACGACGGTTTTGTGGTTTCTGTGAGTTGCCCCAATTTCCACAAATTTAAAATTGTAGATTTTAACCAATCAGAAAACACTGTGCTGTGTACCGACGTGAAAAAACGGCAGTCAAAAAATAAATTGGTTATCTCACAGTACAAAGCCAAGATTCAGATGTTGGTGGATTACGCAGGGTGATTTGTCTTAAGTTGCAAAGACCAAAGTAAAAAATAGACACATGATGAACCCGGATCCCTTAACCAATGCCAAACGGAGCAGACACCCAGTTCATGGAAGAAGCGATATTACACCGAGGCAGGCCCTCATTGACAATTACGATTTAATGTGGGTCCTTGAACACGAGGTTCAAGCATGACCAATGGGAATAATTCAGTGTTAAAATATTCACCATTAAAGGTGCTTCCATCTCAGAAGTGACCTGTACATAATACATAAACGCGATGCCAATGATCCATGAAGATTAACCAAGTCTAAACTAACGCAAAACGGCGGCTAACTCCGCAAATTCAATAAACGGGTCTACTGGAGCGTGAAATTATTCAAACAGAGAGCATGTCAGGGAAACTAAGAATGTCACATACGCCATCGCCGGAATGGCAGACTTAGAAAACCAATCGCTGGGCAATTAAGGATGTTGGAAAGCGTGTAAGGGACCTCAAAAAATGTCAAAAATGCAGATGACAAGCAGAATGAACGTTTAACGCGTGTTGGCATGTGCGTCAATGATAGATTAAATGCCCATATTTGTAACAAAGTCCACTGAGTTATCGAGAAAGTGTTTCAACCAAAGTCATGTGAGTAAATAGGAGTTTGATACTAGTTCTGGAGGTTACACCATTGCGGTCTGCAGCCGGTTAAGGTAGCAACGTCGAATTCGTTTGATATTACCTATTATTGCGAAATTAAACCTACTGAACGTGTAGAACAAAGACAACAATGCGGCTCTTCTACAAACCCACGCAGCGAAATCTTGGAGAATCTTAAGCGATCAGTAGACACAGCGTGGACGGATTCGTAAAAGTCTGGTCAAAAACCAGAGCCACAACAGCGCGCATCTGACTTCAGTCGAATTTGCAAAGAATTTGTTAACAAGTGCACATGGTGGACTAAGCATGTGCGAGTAGATTAGGCAACACAAAAGAGCTCACCACCTCGGAAGTTTCAGCAGGCGAGAGCAAAGTCGCCGACGCCTCAGGCGACGGTTGCAGGGCACCCCGAGATCGAAGAAGGGCCCTCATCTCGCGTTCCCGAGTCTCCACCAGGCGATGTGCTATCACCGAGTTCAATTCGGTAAGCAGAACAGCTCTGGCAGCTTTGCGGTCCTTCAACTACAAAAAGGCAAAAGACCGGCTAAGTACTAAGCCAAACAACGCATCAACCACAGAAATCACAAACCAAACCCCCTTTTCTTAAATGCTACTGTTTCTCAAAACTTGCTCGGCCCACACAACTCGTTAATTAGAACGACCTCGAGTTACGACTCGCAACACCTGACATGAGATCACCGATGGTGTAGAATGAATTCCTGGTTTGGTGGTAGATGGTGGCTTATTTGCCTAAGATGCACACCACAGACATGCCCGCGAGTCCACACAGCCATAAAACGAGAGTCATGAAGGGTACAGGAAGCATTTTAATCGAAGTCTCTTTGATTACTCAATTAGCTAGCATCGGGAGAAAACGAAAGAAGCACGATATTTTTGTACAATTCACAGGGGATGGGGCAGATAGCGCACACTAAATAATTTATACATCCTTCTGCCGAAGCTGTCCGGTGTTTTGCTTACCGTCCAGCACAGCAAACGCGAGCAAACACACAGCATTGCGACGACTCGTAAACACAAGGTAGACGCTTGGGGAGCCGCGTATCATCAATGAATTGCGAGTATTTTGCGTGTCAACAGGCCAAACACCCCAAAATGAAAACAAAGAGAAACAGTTTTAAATCAGCCCAAGCGAGGGAGCCGATGGTGTGTCAGTTCGCTCACTTTACGCAGACACATTTTGAGGCTGGGAAATGCAATTACACGGGAGTAAAGGCGAGCGAGAGAGCGCACGATAATGCAACCACACGTAAGTACTCAAAAATAGTGAATACTAAAAGAGTCGGGATAAAATTAGGAAAAGGGATCACTACGGAGGCGAGATTAACGCATAACTCGGCACAGCAAACTCTAGGCATTCCACGTGCACATAACGGAGAATTCGATTCTGTCGGAGTAATTCGAAAAAAACTCGTTTTTGAGGTTGTTGTGAATCGTGTTTATGCACACCCCGGTTAAGCCGGTCGCTCCACCTCCGACACAGGGTTCCCCTTTTCGCAGCATGTCGCCAGCCGCACGGATCCTCAACTCCCCCCTCATTAACACGGATATTTATCGTGGAGTATCCCCACACCTAGGTCTCGATGTTAGCGCATGTATGACTCACACATCCGAGGTATAAATACACACGCGCACCATCAACACCAACGTGGTTGAGCTCGGAAGTAAACGATTGTGTCCACGGTCTTTTCCTTCATCGCGGGTATTAGGGAAACGTAATCGGGCCGGAGTTAATTCCATGGCCCCGGCTTGGTTCAAGGCGAAATGCCGGGGCCCACAACAAAGTAAAGCATGTCACCTCGCACACCACACACCCAAGAGTCCAGTCGGTGTTGAATCGTTGACCACGCCGAGGTCGCCGATTTGTTGCGGCACGATACAACGCGAAATACCCGAGGAAGCAAAGAGAGGAGAAGGGGCAATCGTTTACTCGATGTGAACCAACTTGCGACTGTCGCGCCAATGCGCACGAAAACAATTCGTGTCTCAAATGTTAGGCGTGAATCAGCACTTTGTTTGGATGACCATTGATTTAGAGGCTTTAAGCTGCCATCTGCGAACATTGACATTTCAAGGGTAATTCAATTCATTAATTCACTGTATTAAGACGCCTAGACAATTGCGCAGACCTGGCTGAAGACACCTTTGTACAATGACCATCCAAACGTCCAGAGATTTCAATGTAACTGAAATTGCCTAAAGTGTCAAAGAACAACTACTCAAACCTAAACCAATTGCCGTCTTTTAAAAGTAAAATGCTACACTATTCTTCATATTTTAGATTAAAATTGAATTTCCTTGCACGAGCGTTCATAACTCCTCATGTCGACGAAAGTTTGATTTCATTCATGCCCGGGAAACTACAGCAGACAGGAATCGAGGCATTGCCAATTATTGAAATTTCGTATTTTCTAAAGTAACCCACATTGGGCAGGATCATCCAATCTCTCTTTTTCTTAAAAGGCCAAATAATAATTCCCATTTGTTCTTATTGCAATTTATTGATTTTCATGGGAATTGAAGTTGTGTGGTTGGTCAACTTAGCAAACAAGGAAATCACATTTATTGAATTTCGATTCAAGCTGTACATAGGGGCACGAGTGTGGTGGCGGCAATGCGCTGTAAACCGGATGGGATTTTGCATTCCATAAAATGGTCATGTTGTGGGCCCCAGCATGTGGTCTTGAACCACGCCGAGGCCACGGAACTAACCCTGACCCGATTGTGTTTCCCTAATACCCGCGATGAAGAAAACGATCGGAGAGGACGTGGACACAACCGTTTACTTCAGAGCCCAGCCACGTTGGTGTCGTAGTGTCGTGTGCGGATTTGCGGATGTGTGAGTCACAGGTGTGCTAACATCGAGACCTAGGTGTGGGGATACTCCAAGATAAATATTCGTGTGAATGAAGGGAGAGTTGAGGATCCGCGCGGCTGGTGACATACTACGAAAAGGGGAACCCTGTGTCAGAGATGGAGCGACCGGCCTAACCGGGGTGTGAATAAACACGATTCACAACAGTCACTTCGATATGCCCTTTATTGGTCACTGCTAAGTCGCCGAAATGTGCCTAATAGAGAACATATGAGGCCTCGATTCTGCATCGACAATATCACGAGTGAAAAGAGAAGTTAAAAAACTGGTTCCACTAGCTCATTTACAACACAACATCTTAACTAATTTGGATACAAAAAGGAAAAAACTGTACCGCCATGCTTCACATCAAAAGCAGATATTTCTACTGAATCAGTTTTGTATCGGTTGCAGGTTCCTGGGCATCGAGAATGTTTGTTCAAATAGTTTTGTGGTGAGCTGTCTAGTAGACGATTGTGCCTCGTCCTCTCCGTTCTCCTTCGTCTTCGCGGGTACTCAGGGTGGCGCAAATGAGCTGGATTCACCTCAGTAGCCCCGGCGTGGTTTAGGCCAACATGCCGGGACCCTAAACAGTTTTTTTCCTACGATTTGCAGCTGAATCGGAACTAGCCACGACAAGTCGGAATTTCATAGCAATACACTGGAACTCTTGGGATTTATCCACTATGCTCTGTCGCCATTTTAAAAGACACAAGCCTAATGAACCCCTGGTGCACGCTTAGTCTCATGCTGTAGGAACTTCAGGATTTGCGCATTTTAGTGGATATCGACAACACTTTAGGCACCATCACCTTCGGTGGCTGCAGGCTCAAAATACCAGCCTAGTTGCCTCAAAACGAAATTTACAATCTCACACAACTACAACCATCCCGGAGGCGTCAAATCCACTTCAACGGTGAGAAACACACGCGGTAAAATGTGCTAGAAAGTCCACACAGACACGACAAAGGTCGTGAGCCATTGCCGGGTCGTGAAGGTGAGTAATTAATAATAAAAAAGGCGAGATGAAGACCAGCGTTATTTGTGGAAGTTGCAGCGACATTCATGCAAAAAAAACCAAATATGAGCAGGAAAAGGGTAGAGAGTAAAGCAGCTGCACGGCACGCAATACGGGCATAACTTCGTTTCAGGGGCGCGAAATTATAAAATTCAGGGTACTTGAAGGTTGAGGCGCAAACACATGGTCAAAAACAACACTGCTACCGTCGAATAACCAGCGGCCGACACACGCAACTCGAGGTTTCGAAAACATTAAAAAAATTCTGAATAAAGCAGGTTTTTTTTAGAATTTTTTTGAGGCAAAGCGCAGTCATTTCGACAAGTTTGCGAAACCAGTAGTTTCTTGTTGGGGGAGCGGGGGGCAGCGTGGTGGGTTGAGATGTCAAACGACACTGCCAACACAGCGCAAGTTTTCTTCGTGCGATAGACGACTCGGTGTTTCGAATTTTGGGCAAAAAAGACACAAATAACTTAAAGGAAAAGAAGGGACTTTGAGGTCAGCTGAACGGCAGGGAGTAGGCAACTCAGTTTCCCAGTGAGGCTACGACACTGGGAAACTCCGGTAACCACCTCTGACAGAGGCGGTTAGAAGGATGACTAGGCGAGAACAAATGAGGGCCACGAGGAGTAGTTTGATGCACATTTCCTGGAAATTACTTCAACGCCTGTGGGGCAATGCGGCCACTTCCAAGCCTTAGGTCACAACTGGTGGGTGAAGGCAAATTGTCTGAATCTGTACGGTGACCACAACAGCTACTTTGGACTAGCGACTTCTTCAAATCAAATGACGATTTCGCAAAACCTTGTCTTTAGAGAATTTGATCTAAAGACAAGGTTTTGGCATAACGACACCTTATAATGAAGATATCTGCCGGATTTAGTATGTATTTTATTTATTTATTGCTGCTGGTACACCGATTCAAAGCAGTGGCGATTTTTAAATTGAGCAAAGATGGGTTTCTGCTCTGGTTGATAGTACACTCTTCGGCATCGGTAACCAGTGTTACTCCGAAATTAATGCGTTCCTGAAGAAGACAAATAGTCACGCAAAACCCATCCTAGCAGAAATTTCTTTGTTTAAAGGCCTTTAAAGCAAAAGAAGTCGCACAACCAATATATTTATGCGTGCACATCCTTTCAACACAACGAATATTCCACTACAGACGCTGCTTATGAGGTAATTCTGGTGAGTTGAAATCAACCCTCGGTTACAAGTGCGGAATCCTAGAAGGTCTGGCACTTTAGCTGAAAGTGTCTCAATGGGAAATTTCACATAGTTCAAGGACAGTGAACCAGGACATACCCCAACAATGAGCTGCTTGAATGATCACAGGAGCACGTGACCGGTTAGTTAAAGTAACGTTAACTTAAACTGACAGTGTGTGAAATCTGCCGATTGTTGATGTTCCACAGGTTACCGAAGTACGCGAGAATGGAGAAGGAATTCGGTCAGACAGAGAGAGACGCGAGTTAGGAAAACTGAAAGCAGATTCGACTAGGGAAGAATTTGTCTCCGTGCTCAGCAGTGATGAATGCCAGAAGGGACCGCACGCCGAAGCCTACCACAATTTCCCCTGACCATCAAGCGAGTTGGCGACTAACACTTGGAACTAATCAAATACGAGCGAAGTGAAGTTTAGCAAGTTTGTAACTCTCAAAGGCAGACTGCGAGAAAGCACCTACGAGAGCTCGCCAGCATCACCAAGAAGGCACGAGATCTTGAGTATGAGCAGGTAGTAGCTGAACGAGCTTGTGATTCACACATTAAACCCTACTGGTAAACAGAACCGATAGTCTAAAAGCTAGACGACAGACTAGGGCTGAACGAATCGGCAACGCATAATCACCACCTGTGA